CAGCGTCTGACACGATGGCCCTTCCTCCCGTCACTCTTGCCACGGAGTTGGGGCGTCGGGCGTCGGAGATGGCATGGGGCCCGAATAGGGCAACTTTGTTCTGGAGTGCCCCAGAGAGGACATGGCAGGGGCACGAAGGGGGGGGGGGGGGAGGGATCGAGAGGGGCGCGAGTGAGGCGGAGGGGGCGGAGGAGGGCAGAGGAGCGTGCGCGGACGGGGCAGGAGGTCGGATAGGAGGAGGGCGACGAAGCAAGGCACCTTTCTGCATGTGGCACGCGCGGCAGCGAAGCTGCCTTCTCTGCCGAGGCGAGAGTCTGGCCAGCGATCTGGCGAGAGCGTCGTTCCACGGGACGGGTGCGCGCTGGAAGCCTTTGAGACGTGGCAGACGCTTCATCCGAGCAGCGTCCGTCGATGCAGAAAGCGGGCCTCCGGTGCGGCGAGAGCGCCGTCCCGCGCGGCAGCCAGAGCGCATCTCTCGAGGGCCGAGCCGAGAGCGCTCCGAGTGGAGCACCAGCTGCGCCTGCAGTCGGCCCGGATTAGTGGGCCGACCCTGCCAGCTCAAGGGTACCCTTGTGCCCTGTGCCTCGCGACACGTGCCTTCTTGCACTCCCATGGCGATGTGGCCCTCGGAAGGGTCTTGTGCCCTCTCGCGTACCCCGTACTTAACCCGTTCTCCTCCTATCCTATCCTGTCCTGTCCTGTCCTGTCCTGTCCTGTCCTGTCCTATCCTATCCTAATCCTATCCTATCCTATCCTATCCTACCCTACCCTACCCTACCCTACCCTACCCTACCCTACCCTACCCTACCCTACCCTACCCTATCCTGTCCTATCCTATCCTATCCTATCCTATCCTATCCTATCCTATCCTATCCTATCCTATCCTATCCTCCTCATATCCTCCTCATGAATTCCGCCTCCTCCTCATTCCCCCTTCCTCGCATCCTTCAACCTCCTCCTCATCCTCCTCTGCTCCTCCTCCTTCCTCCTCCTCATCCTCCTCATATCATCCTCATACCCTCCCCCCTTCGACACCATCTGGCCCCAGGCCCAGCTCAGCCGCCGTCGGCGCGCAGGTGCCCGGGCCACTCCCGCCGCAGGATAGCCCTGGAGGGAACTGCAAGTACAATGGAACACGGACCTGGTATTAATTAAGATACGCGGGACACCTGCCCCGCCCGCGGGGGCCCCGACCAGTTTGTTGTGGGTTTCGCCGGGCGCGGGCGACGGCCCGTGGGGCCGGCGAGGAGCGAGCGGGCGGGCGGCGGGGCCAGACCCCCTCGAGTAGTGAAAAAATCGTGACGGGAGTTTTTTCCTGACTTTCGGCCTTCTGGGGCCCTCACCGGGCCTCGGGGGCGTCGTCAAAAAAGGACTCAGGATGCAAAGCCGGGCACGGGGAAAGGGTCGTGACCTCTGGGGGTCGACGTAATGAAAAAGTCATTACGTCGGGGACGTCTGGGGGGCCGGCTTCGAGCGCACGAGGCACCGGCCGAGCATAGAAATCGACGCGAAGATGTCGGGCCAGAGATTCGGCTCGGGACAATTTTTCGAAGGCTCCGAGGATATCGGCGGGCTTTTGGAGGGCGTCTTGGGCGCCGCGGCCGCTCTGAGAGCGTTCCGGAACGCTCTGAGAGCGCTCCGGCACGCTCTGGAGCGATTTATCCCGATCCTATATAGCTCTGTTTTGGAGAAGACGCCCGAGGCCGCAGGGGAGGGCGGCGAGGCAGCGGCCTGGCGGCGCGCTCGCGCTGCACGGTCGGGGGCGGTCCTCTGCCCCCCAGACCGGGTGGCTGCGCCTGCGCCCGGCGCGCCCTCGCTGCGGACTCGGCGCGGATCTGGCGCGGGCTCGGCGCGGAGCTGGCGCGGACTCGGCACGGACTCGGCGCGGGCTCGACGAGCCCGAGCGCGCTCGGCGCGGAGGAGGGCGCGGCGGGACGGGCGAGGTCCCCCGAAGGTGCAGCACGGGGGGATGGGCGGGGCGCCAGCGGCCGACCGCGCCCCGTGAGCCCTCAGGCCGCAGGCCTGCCGGAGACCCGGCCATTGGGTCTCGGCAGCGCTCGGACGTGTGCACTTTTTTCTCGGCGAGGACCCTCGAGGACCATGCCAGAGCATCGAGCAAAACAAAAACACACGCACGAGACCGAAGCATGCGCGGGAAATGGACGTCCGAGCGACGGCAAGGGGTCGGACGACGAGCAGGGCCCGAACTCCTCCTGGCCTCCCCTGTGACCGGGCCCCGGCCCACGGGGCACACCGTCTGCAGCCGTGAGCGGGCTGCGCTTGTCACGCCGAGTGCGGCGTCCCTCACAGAAGCCCATGCCAAGAAGCACCCTGCTTGCTTCCAGCGTGCCCTGGGTTTCCCGGGTTTCGATGGTGTGGGACGTCCTGGGGTCTCAGGGTTGGGTTCCTTGTGGGAGGTTTCTTGTGGTCGAGCTCCCACTGTATTACAGCAAGTGCAGCACCGGAGGCGACAAGTACGACACCAAAAGTGCGGCAAGGA